AAAAAAAAACAAGCAGACCCCTTCTGCCTACGTACAATCTTCGGCTGGATATTGTGGCGCATGCAGTTACTTCTGCAAACGCGTCATCGATGTCCTCAAAGTGTCGAACTGGAATGATCATGTCCAGCTTTTCAATGCCATCGTGTTGAAATCAAAGATGAATGGATACGAAACATGATCAGTGGTGAAAGGGGAAGAGCAAGCACTGATTATGGACTTAGAAAGCAATAGAGCAAAGAATGCACGGTGTATCACCATATTTGCCAGTTAGACTTTCCCTCAGACAAGTAACACGCAAGATGAGACTGTGATCTGGGCAAAGTGTAAACTCATTAAGCAAGACAAGTTGCTTGCATTACTATTAACAGCGAAATGGTATCCAAGAGGGATCAGTTTTGTATTAAATACTGCGACCATCATGCTGACGAGGGCCTGTTCCGCAGTGTTGAGTTAAGAAGTATATGACTTAATGGACCGAAAAGTTTTATCTCACTCTTATTAAAGGTTGAAGAGAAAATATCAAGAAAAAAAAGAAAAAGAGAAAAAGGATAGTAAGGTGGGAAAGGTGTCTAAGGAAATATAATAGGTAAGAAATGTTTCGGTCCATTAAGTCGTATACATTTTTTACCGTTACCACAACTGGACCTCGTCAGTACGACGATAACAAAATAATGGTATAAAATTAATCAAGTTGGAAGAAATGTAAAACAGAAGAAATAGAAGAAATGAAAGACCGTAAGCAAGCAGAAGAAGCAGAAAAGTGCCTTCTTTTCCTCATACTATTCTCGCTTTCTGTATTCAATTGCGCCTTCGACACTTCGGTTTCTTGGATCAACCTGGATGCTCTAATCAGCTCAGCACTTGGACGGCTTACGAAGAGATGACGCATGAGCAGTGGAACAAAAAAAACCAAAAAAAAAGGAAATTAGTGGGCATTAGTGGGCATCATTTCCTTAAAGCACTGGTCATTTCTTTCATAGTTTGCCAAATTTGAAAGTGTTTCTAGGCGTGAAGCATATTTTTGCGTGTTAGCGGAAAACTGTGATGAGCCGATGTACACGAAACTTGTGGAAGCACTGTGCAGTGAGCATCAAATCCCGCTGATCAGAGTGAAAGAAAAGAAACAGCTGGGCGAATGGATTGGACTGTGCAAGTACGATAAAGAGGGGAAAGCACGAAAAGTTTGTCTTTGCTGCATATCTAGTTTAGCCAGGTTAAACTCGGAAATCGCTGCTCGAGAACCAGGAAAGCTGGATGGCTGGAATTTTAAGGGGATGTTCTCTGCCCATTCAAAATGCAC